TAATATATTCAGTGACACTACGAAGGGTAGACTGAAAAAAGATACCTTTTTTAGTGTCTAGCAGATCATTACCAACAAGTGATAGAGAAATTTCCATACGAAAGTCAAGGTGAAAGTATACAAAGTATGGGTTAATGTCAGAAGTGTAGTGATGAAGGAAGAGGAGAGATTTGGTGTGGTCTCTATATTTGGAGGTCAGATTTCCTTGGTGATGACTCTTCCATCCACAGAGGGGCTATTGACATTCCTGATAATGAAGCAGTCTACAGTGATTCATTGAAGTGAATGCCAATTTATAAAAATATGCAAAATTTGTAAAAAATATGTAAAATGAAAATAAGTCATGCCCAGCTCCTCTGCCATTTTACTAAATAACCATGCAAGGTTTTTCAGACAGCACCGCGCACGCTGCATTAGCTGCATCAATGAACAGAATGACCCAAGAGAAAAAGAAGTGTGTTGGACGCACCATCAGCATTGTTATTGGCTTATATCATCTGGTCTGGTAATAAAAAGTGAAATAATCAGCGAATTGCTTACACCCAGGGGATTATCATTTCTGCGGTTTGACCTAATGTGTCTTTTAGAAGGACTTGCCTTTGCTGAGTTTCTCAAAGTTGATATTAAATATTTCCTTACAGAACTCCGTGAGAGCATCTCTACCTAGTCCTTTGCAATCAGGTTTGAGTCTCGAGACATAAATGTAATTCCAGTATTAATCAGCATAATTATTCAGCCGCTCGTAATAGTATTTCGTAGTGATATGGGTCATGAAGCTGAAGGTGAAGACTGCACGGTTTTCCGTTCCCTCCTTTGCCTTCAGGGATGACTATATATAGAAAGTTGGTATTGCTGAATTTATTTTAGAAAGTCATCTTTGGAATTATTTTCAGAGCTACTGACACATTATTTTAAATTTTCTCATTGGCAGTAGGCCTTCCTCTCTGACAGGATGAATCAAAGTTAAAAAATGGCTTTACATTTTGGAGGCATCATTGGGTAATAAGGTAGACATGGTAATGAATAATTTCATTTCTAATCAAGTAAAAAATAATTTCAAAGTCCTACAGCTAATGTTCTTATGTAATGTGTTGAGGCTCATGTAGCCATGCTAAACTGGAGGTAGCATCAGTAATAAAAGGCAAACAGTTTGGGCTCAGTAGCTCACACCTATAATCCTAGCACTCTGGGAGGCTAAGATTGGAGGGTCCTTTGAGGCCAGGAATATGACATCAGCCTGAGCAAGAGCAAAACCTTGGTCTCTATGAAAAATAGAAGAAAATAGCCAGACATTGTGGGGGTGCCTGTTGTTCCAGCTACTTGGGAGGCTGAATCAGGAGGATCACTTAAGCCTGGGAGTTTGAGGTAACAGTGAGCTGTGATGAGACCACTCCACTCTACTCAAGGCAACAAAGTGAGACTCTGTCTAAACAACAACAACAAAAACAACAAAACAATGGGTTTTAGAAGCATATCACTCGCTTTCATCTTCAGGTGGTTACTGCAAATGAGGCAGGCAAAGTACCTTAGCTCAGGTTGGTATTCTGATTTCTGGTTGTAAATCTTAGTGACATGCTTATCATGCTTGGAAGCAGGGAGAGTGACAAGCTTAAGGTAAGAGAGAAATGAGCACTGTTGTCCAAATGGCTATTAATTTGCAGATAGTAAGGGAACATTAAGGGGGAAACAGCCAGAAAATAGAGGATGTAAGCCAATGGTCATGGGAGTATGTCCCATGAAAAGATAAAAGATAAGAGGAGAGAGAGTAAGAAGAATGATCAGGAGCGAAAGGTCATTGTTGGAAAAATATGTTCATTGGGGATTAAGCAAATTACCTTGAAAATAAGGTGCTTTCTGATTTGGGTGAGCTGTAATTT